TCTCTGGAACTTTACATGAGAAAGAATTTCAGTCTTGTTTAATTAACTTATTTTGGGTTTTCATCATTCCTAGTTGAACTTACAAATCAGTTCACTCCCTGATTCCATCAACCCCTCACTATACCAGCAGTATAGCACAATGGTTAAAGAGTAAGAGCTTTGACATTAGAGAGATTTGATTCAATATCCACCTCTACCACTTAATAACTGCCTGATCTCGGGCAATTTACCTAAATGCCATAAGCATTAATTTCCTTATCTATACCTTCCTCATTGTACCTACCTAATGGGCTGTTGTGAGGATTTTACTGTATGAGATATATAAGGAATTTAGTAAGCATTACTGTCCTTTGAGAGTCTTGATTTCAGTTCCCATAATGCATCACTTCACCCATTCTAACTGGCATCCTCATTCTCAGCATCCTCGTTTCCTTGAACTGCTGCTTTGTCTTTCTTGCAAATCCCCACCTTGGTCAATGCAAGTCTTTTCCATGCCCACACGATCATGGATGAACACAATTATGCACATAGAGACCATTACAAGTGTTTGGTCTCCAGCCTCAGTAGGACCCTGCTCAAGGCTGGGAAATATTTGAAATCTGTGTCTGTCCCTGGGCACATCCATTCCCCCTGTGTTTATGCAACTTTTCACTCTTCTCCTCAAGCCATCCCTAGAGTAAATAAACATGCTTATGCTGCTGCTTCTTTAAAAGAAAAAAAAATTTTTCCTTCAGTCCCATTATTTCTTTACCTAGTACCCTTAATCCTTCTCTTCTCGTCCCAGCTCCTTAAAAGAATAGTCATCACACTACTGCCTAGGGAAAAGGAGCAGATTTGATGGAGGGATGACCATCAAACTCAGCATGTCCAAAACCTGCACACCATGTGTTCCTCCCTCCTGCATCCCAGTCAGTCCTGGTCCCCAGCCTGCACCCCTGACTGTGAAACACTGCGTTCACCTTACACATTTCCCTCAAGCTCATGCCAGGATGTTCCTTTCCTTTTCTCACCTGGAATTATCTGTTGGGCGCACTCTGTCTTCATTTTTTGCCTGACAAACAGGCCCTCATATCTCATGAGTCAGCTGGTATTACCTCTTCTTTCAAGCTTTTGTGAAGTCCTGCCCTCAGCCAGGGAAACTATTTTTCCTTTGTATCCCTACAGTATGCAGATTAAAAATCACCATTTTAACAGCTGGAACACTTGACTTGTTTACATGTTTGTCTCCGTCCATCGAAGTGTAAATTTCTGTGGGGATTGCTATGATTTGACTTGTTTTTTATACTTGGGGTCCAGCACAAAATCTGGGACATAGTAGGTGTTTAACAAACTGTTGTTTAATGAATGACTAAATCAGTAAAAGAATGAGCAGAGGAACAGAACCTGTAACAATAGCAAATACCTATATGGTGCTTCACGAATTCATTCAACACGTATTTACTGAGCTCGGGCAATATGCCAGCCATTGTTCAGGCAACAGCAGTGAACAAAACAGACAAAATGTATACCCCTGAGAAGGTTACTTTCTAATGAGAAAGAGTCAATAAACAATATAAAGAATAACTAAGTACATTGTATAGTATGTTAGAAGGTAGTAAGAGCTGTATGGAAAAAAGAAAGAGCAAAGAGAGGAAAAGGTTGCAGTAGTGAAGGGGGTGGACAGGGTTGGTCTCATTATGAAAGTGAGATCTGAGCAAAGCCTGGAGGGAAATGAGGGGTTTAGATAAGCAGTTACTTGGGGAAGAGCCCCACCCAGGCAGAGGCAAAAGCTAAACCATGGGGCCTAAGATGGGCATGTGCTTTGCATGGTCCAATGAACACAACACAAGGAGGCCAGTGTGGCTGGGGCAGAGGAAGCCACATGGGGAGTCGTAGGAGATGAGGACAGAGGGGCATTGGCAGGTGGAGACAGGCCGTGGGAGGCTTTGGAGATTATGATAGAGATTCTGGCTTTTTCTCTGGGTGAAATCACATGCCATTGGTGGGTTCTGAGTCAAAATGTGATCAACTTGTGTTAAGAGATAACTTTGGGTACTACATAGACAATGCCTTGTAGGAGGCAAGGGCAGAAACAGGGAGTTCTATAGAAAGTGATTCCAGAAATCCAGGCTGACATGAGGGCCCAGAAGTGGTCAGATTCTGGTGATACTTTCAGAGGAAGACTTTGATGTTGAGTGAGAGAGAGGAGTTGGGGATGAGTCAGTGGTTTGGGGCCTGAACTGGAAGGAAGGTGCTGCCCTTAATGACTTCCCTGTATTAAGTCATCGAATCTCTACACTAAACTGAGGAGGGATGTGCCATTGTTCCCACTTTCAGTGGGGACATTAAGACTCAGAGAGGTTGTCTGGGTCATCCAGCTCATAAGTGACAGAGCCAGGATCCAACCAGGCAGGCTGGTTCCGGAGTCAGTGCTGTCAACCACTGCACCAAGCTTCCCTCCATCAGAGCAGCCTAGTGGATAAAAGGTTCTTAACATTAGGTAACAATGTGAAAAGACCAAGAATAATTCTCTAACCTGGGCCAAACTATCTGGCCTTGAAGTAGAATGTTTGGCACAAGAAAAATAAGAAAGGAGCGGATTCATGGGCAAGATAACACAAAGGAGGCACGGGACATGCTGACAAGGATTCGTGCAGCTTATTTAAGAGAGAAGGCAGCAGATCCGAGCCCCCGGCTTTCACGATCTGGTAGTCAAATGCTTACATCGTGCCTCTTGAAATTGTAAGTACTGAGTACATAACGTCCCCTGGGCACTGGAAGCCAATACTATCTTGCACTAAGCCTTCTCTCTTTAGCAACCAGACTCTCCCCTAAACTAACTGGATCCTATTGGCTTTACCTGCTGACACAAGGTACAGCGATATTTTCAAAATGCTACAGCTTGACTCTAGGTACAAATACTCTTTAAGGGTGTTGCAGTTTGTAAAGATGATGGGTTATATGTGCATGTACTGCCTGAACCAGTCCCAGCTGTCAGTGAAAGCCATGGCCACACTCAGCTAGCCGCATAAAAATAAGAGTCCTCTGGCCCTCTCTCTGGGGCAGCCTGGTATAACAGGATGTGCTGTGAGCCTGTTCCATTGTGACTGCACCTGTTGCAAATGTCTACAGGAACTTTTGTCCCCACCCCCTCCCCAATCAACACATATTTAACTCCATGTAAAGTAGAAACAGCCGTTGCTCGCTCTCTTGGACTAGGGAGCCACCTTCTTTTCCACCCCATTCCAATCTGATGTCTGTATTCTCTGTGCTTATGTTATTTCACATTTTAACCAGTTACTACAAAAGGCTTTTAAATATGTTATTTCATTTAAGCCATACAACAATCCAGCAAGGAGAACTTGTACTCTTATTCTCATTTTATAGATGAAGAAACCAACTCTGAGAGAGGTTACCTGGCTTGTCCAAGGTCACCTGGCATCTAATATCCATGCCTCACTGCTTCAGATTCAGCCTCCTTTCCATGCCCCCCTCTCCCCCTACACACCCCAGCACACTGCTTCTCTGAATCCTGCAACATATCTTATCCTTGGCCAATCAGTAGCCAGATTGGACCCTTCCATCAGAAGCTCTCTCACATCAGCCTCTCTCTTTCCAGTCAGTCACACACTCTGGCTCCCTTCACTTCACTAATTAACTCATTTATCTCTGCCTTTAGGGTCTCATGCCCCCACCCTACCCCACCAGGTGACTCTTCTTAAGGTACCACTTTGGTCATACCTCTCCTCTCCCCCAAACCTTTGAATGCTCCCATTTGCCTGGGGAATCAAGGCTGGATGCAGCAGCAGCACGTCCCCATGTTAGAGCCCTCCTCCCTTCCTGGTCTCATCTCTCTGTATCACCTACAGGATGCCTCACTTTCATTTGGTCTGTTGGCCATTCTCTAAACTCTCCTAAAGCTATGCTTCCCCTGGGCTTCAATTTATTATTTATTTCCACTTAGACCACTTGCCCACTAATCCATCACCCACTTTGATATTCTGTGTATCTTAAACACACGACTCAAATTTAAATGCCTTCACAGCAACACAGATGGACCTAGAGACTATCATACTACGTAAGCCAGAAAGAGAAAGAAAAATACTATATGATATCACTTATACGTGGAATCTAAAAAAAAAAAAAGACACAAATGAACTCATTTACAAAACAGAAACAGACTCACAGACATACAAAACAAACTCATGGTTACTGGGGGAAAGGGAGTGTGGAGGGATAAATTTGGGCGTTCAGGATTTGCAGATACTAACTACTATATATAAGAAAGATAAGCAGCAAGGTCCCGCTATACAACACAGGAAACTATATTCAACATCTTATAATAACCCATAATGAAAAAGAGTATGTGTGTATATATATATATACACACATATATATAAATTATATTCTTTGTCATGTATATAAGCTATATTCATATATATAAACTATATTGAATATAGTTTATATATAAAAGTTATATATAATATATGTAACTATATTTATATAGTTATATATACATTATATATATTAACTATATTCAATATCTTATGATAACCTATAATGAAAAAGAATATGAAAAGGTATACGTGTGTGTATATATATGTGTGTGTGTGTATGTGTGTATATATATATATATATAACTGAATTACTATGCTGTACACCAGAAACTAACACAACATTGTAAATCGACTATACTTCAATTAAACACAAAAAACAAAAAAATTTAAATGCCTTCATGAAGCCTTCCTTGCTTGCTAAGTGCCAGGACTTTCACTTATATGGTATCTATCATTTATTGTCCCAGTAACATAATTGCCTTTGCCAGTCTGGGAGCTCCAACCTGTGGGATGTCCCAACTGGGTGGTAGGTATCTTTGTACTTTGTATCACACAGGGCTCTGAATATAGCAGTTGTACAACAAATGTATAACATGCTTTGGTTAAATGAGTATTCAGATTAAAAACCACCTATCTATGCAAACATATGCAGTTAGATTCCAAAATGAAGGACACACACACATATACATGTAACATCACAAATTTATTATAACACACAACAACCAAACCCAAACTTTGACAGTATCTACAGAGTTTCCCACTGTCTTAAAAATTTAACAGAAAAAAGGGATAATTGAAGAAATATAACCTCACAATCTTACAATTTATGGCACAATGCAGTCTGCTCAGTTAAAAATTTTACTCAATTTAGGACTGTAAATTGGAAATGCCCCATAGATACTTAAAATTTTATTTTTATATTTACTTATAATAGACATGTAAGTTCCAAAGGATTTATAGAACTTTATGTCATAAACCAGGTTTTGTAGCTGGGCTTTTATTTCTTAGGTAAGCAAGCTCAAAGCAACGAGGTCCTGAAAAGTGGATGAATCCCCAGCAGAAACTCCTTTAACAACACAATGCCTATCCAGTCCTACACCAAGTGATACCCATTCTGATCTGCTGATGTTCGTAGGGAGTTACTTCTACCAGCTGTGATCTCTTTTCATGTAGCGTTCTGGCTCTCCACCTCTAGTCACAGAAAGTAGAATGCAGCTGTATCACGTGTTGCTGCTAGTTCAGAGGCACCTCAAACATTTTAAAGACTATGAGAAGAGGTTGTTCAGCATAGGTCAGAAAGTATGCAAGAAAAGAAATCAAACTCTCCTGTTTTATCTTCTTTCATTTTTGCTTCCTTTTGGTTTTTGCCCAAAAAGTCTCTGGGTCTTTGGCAATTGTATGTGTGATAGCATTCGCCATACCTCCCCGTATTACTACAGGTTGGATCCAAAGAGCCAAAACAGGAAAACACTGAGGGAACCCTGAGATCTCAGAGAGAAAATTAGAACTTCTCTTTCTTTTATCTTTGCTTTCATGTTCTTTATTATTTATTTAAAAAAATGAAATTCTCCCCATTTATCAACCCTTATCTTCTCACACTGTAAGCAAGTGAAATCACTAAAGGTCACTTAATGGCAAATAACCTTATGAATTTGGTGAGTGTGAAGAGAAAAGGCCATGGTAGAGACTAATGGATTAGGAGGGAGACACCTAACACTGGGAGTTTACAGTTAGTACAATTAAGTATCACTGTGTGTTACACAGTAACTGGGGTACTAATTGCTTAAAGTTATACAAGTATAAGGAGTCCGTCAAAATCAAGAATAAATATAACAAGAAAAAAAAGCAATGAGGAAAAATTCAGGAACATCAATATTGCTGCTTCTTGGGCAAAACTCTACTGATGAGTAGTTGGGTTCTCCAACAAGAAAACATGAGAAGAGAATTTCAGAAAATAGCCAATTATAAAGAAATGAAAGCTACACAAATGAATGTCCATCTTTCATTATATACTTCATAAGTTTGAAAAAAGATATGCAGGCTGCTAATCAATTCATAATTCTGGAAGATATTTTTGCAAGCAGTGAATCTGTAATAATTATTATGTTGTCTCTCACACTCTCTTTCTTTATGAGAGAGATCCCTATAACTAAATCTCCCTTGGATAATCTCTGTGCCACCACGTGCCTCCAGTTACTTCACAAGCCACTCTCATCCATCTCTGGAAACTGTGTATAACGTATACTGAGTGGTCTAAAAATCATTTAATGTGTGCTAATGATATGAACATTTATACGTCCAATCAATATATATTTAACCAAGATAATCCTTTAAACCATGAGAAGACGAGAAAGTGACATTACAATACTACCGACAACAGATTTTTTCCACTGAACCATGGAATACTTTTTCCATTGACAAATTCACCTCTTTACAGAAATACACAAAGTTCACTGTAAAACAGGAATAGCAACGTGTTTGTTAAGCCATCAGAACAATCCATTGTTTTCAAAATATTAACTTAACCTTAGTTTCAAGTGCACCCATATACTAACCTAAAGGATCATTACTTTTAAAGTTTACCCAACAAAAGTGTTGTGAAGAAGTCTTACAAGCAGAACTGGTGCCAGCTACCCAAGAGATCCAGCACAAATTATTGTTAGTGATTTTAACTGATAACTGATCAAAACTTCACTTAACGTTCATCCACATTAGCTCTTTAGAATGGGAATTTAACTCTAGAGTAAATATGGTGTTTTCTGAATATAGTCAACAAGCAACAAAGCCAGAGTCCACAGTTAGAGGTTTCCAGACCTAGCAGAAGGAATCTATTGTATGGAATGGACATTTGTCCATGCTCAAAATATCTAATGATATTTTTCATCTACACTGGACTTCTTTGAAGACTACTGTACTGTTTCATATCCTTCTTTCATTCTAAAAAAATGTATTAAATAAAACTTTTAGATTAGGTTTAAAAGCATCTGAAAAACTGGCTGCTTCAGGCTCTAATTATCAGACGACTTTACTATCTGGGAGCTTTGGGCTCTCAAATATCAGAAACCCCAATAACTTATCATAAAAATACAAGATCTTGATTTTGAAAAATATATAAAATGCACTGCACATGGAAATATCTCGATTGTCAAGGAAGACAAGATATCAGTCTAATTCATAGACTTATGTTGTGCTTGAATTTCAGTGATCTTTGTTTTTGCAGATTCCATTTTTCACAGTTTTGGGTAGCCTCTGACCTTTGGTGTAAGCACGGTACCAAAAATGGAGAAAGAGCAGCAGAAAGATGCACCCATAACTCATAATGACGTATAGAAAGACGGGAAACTGGTAGTTGCAATCCTCCATGAAAAAGAACTGGCCTATGTGGATGGTGACAATAACGAACTGGACCTAACAGATGAAAGAATGAAAAGTATTGTTCAGAGATGAAGAGTCACAATGGAGCAATTATTTAATGCATTCTTTGCCTGCTTATGTTTAAACACTCTCCAGCCACATCTAGCCTACTGTTGGACAGGGAATTTAATCTTTCAGTCTAGCCTCCATGGGAGTGATAGTGGGTGGAACACTGTCAAAAATGCAGATGGGAATTTGAAACTACTATTCAGTCCCAACAAAGTGCACAGCTCCAGGGGGTGCTATGTAAATGTCCCCGAGCGGAGCAGCGCTGCAGCTCTTTCCAACTCAGAAAACCATCAGTTTCTGACTTGAGTTTTTGACTGATGAAATGCACACACCCCTTTATGGCCTAATTTTCTAGGACAGTTTTGATCTCAAACTTTCTATCCTGTTGATAGACCAGATATTCTATTTGGGGAGAAATAAAAACATTTTAATTAGAGACCCATTAATTTTGTAGGAGCCAAAGCATCTCTGAGTCCTCATATCTGCCACCTATCCTAGATAAAAATATATCACAGACAAAATTATGTCCCATCTGCCAACTGCAGCAGAGAATCTGCAAGGGGTGAGTGAGCATTGGTGACCCTCCTAGCGATGCCCAAGGGCTGTGTGATCCAGAATGTTCTACACAGTCTTAAGAGGGACACATTCTGGGCTCATGTCCAGATTTTCTGGACATCTTTTTTCTCATAATTAAAAGGCAATGTGTTCTGTAGAAACTTTAGAAAAGTAAAAATCTATACCTAAAAATAAATTACAATTACCCACAATCCATTCTGTTATAACCATAGTTAAGATTTTCATCTAGTTTCTGTTATCATCATCAGCAGCAGCTTTCCTTGCATTATCTTAAGGCATGTTTAGGACATTCCTGTGCAGTGACTACAACTATTCCTCTCATTTTTGCAGATGAGGAAATCTTAGAAAACCTAAGCAATATCTTCAACATTCTCTGCAGGTATGTTTGTGTACAATCAAAATGTTTGAAATAATAATGAACAAACATCTATCCTTTTTTTATGTAAGTATTTTCTCACATTATGAAAAAGTATTTACAACATTTAAGAATATGTTAAGTGAAAAAAGCGTAATACAAAATTCTATACGCAATATAATACAAATCATGCAAAAAGCATACACACATATGCATAGAGGAGAAAATCCAAATGTGAATAAAATAAATCAGCCCTGATTATCCCTCAGTGGCAGAATTATGTTTGCTCTTCTTTCTCTCTGCTTATCTCACTTCACCACAATGAGCATATATTACTTTAAAATCACAAAAAAAAAATTAAAAAGAAAGGAATTGTGAAATATTTCCATGACTTCATAATATTTTAAAGTAGGAATTTAAATAATTTATTTCACCATTTCCTTATGGTTGATTATTTAGGGTGTTGTCAACACTTTTTTGGATACAATAAACAACCTTGCAAGGATATGCTATGATACTGATTTAACATCCTGATACACTAAAACCTCACTCTCTCATCTGGGAGAACACACCATATGAATATGCTGGATTTCATTTAACAAGTTACAGAATTTTAATAGAAATTAAGCTTCAACAGGCTATCTACACCTAAATCCATACTTTCTCTTTAGTATTGATGGCAGAATATGACACTAATTTATTATAGACTGTAAGTCTGGAAATATGAGAATCATAGAATTCTTATCTTAACAGAAGACAAAATTTAAAGCAAATCATCATCTCAACCCATGGTTACTCTTCAAAAAAATTGCATGCCATGTATTTTTAGGATTCATGCTTGGAAAGTATTATTAGCTCTAAATTGAGTGCCTCTTCTCCTTTGAACACTGTTTACTTGAGGACAGTATTTAAACTGATGTTATCAGAAAAAGACACTTAGAGAGAAATTGTAAATAATTTTCATGACTTTGTAATATTCCAAAGTAGAAATTAAAATAACTTATTTAGCCACTTCTTTATAGTTGGTAGTTTAGGGTGTTTTCAACTCTTTCAGTATATATATGACACTACCACTCTACACCTTTAATCCCCACAGTACTTTCACTATTTGGTACAAAAAACAGGCTTATAATTGTTATTACTAGATAGGCGGCCCTACAGGAAGGCTCCTAAGTCCCTCAAAGTTACGTTCCCTGAGGGTCATTTAGCTCTACAATATGGAATTTCTAACTTCTAATTTAATATTATGCCTGTTGAGGTTTACATAACTTTGGATTATTTTGACCATAAATATATTTATTTTATATAAATGCATAAAATAGTATAAAATGGTATAAAGAAACACATGCTGGCTTAATTGACTGAGCCTCCTGGTTACTAAATGTGCTTTTATTTCAATAAAGTTCTTGACAAAGTTCACATAATACAGAAAAGGTGATGACAGGCTGCCATGTGGGGCCAGACACTTTATATCACTATGTTTTGTAAACCTTGTATTTTATTTAGTTAGTATCCTCGTTGATAAGGAAGACAAGTGACTCCAGTTTAGTTTCATATCTGGTTTTAAAGAAAATTCATTACTCACAAGCTGTAATGATGTCAAATACTTTTTCCACCACAGATATTTCTGGTAGGCTGGTCCCAGTGCACACAGTCCATAGTAGGAATACATAACTACATGTACAGCTGTATTCAGAAAGGCATGGAATGTTCCCAAACCACCTGGAAAAAGAAAGGTTGTAAAATGGGGGCACTGCTCCTTAAAATGAGATGTATTTTAATCTAAACTGAGGTTTTAGTATAATTTCTTTAATTCTAGCAGGAAGAAAAATAAATATATGAAATATCACTCTTGTTAAACAGCCATCAAATTAGATGGCGCTGGATAATACATTCATTTACTAAAATATAAAATACAAATCTTAAAAAATAAATTTAGCAAGTCTTTGTTCTGTTATAGCTTAACCTTAAGATGATCTTATGATTTAGATTTACTTTAACAAATTGAATTACCTTTTAAATATAATATACTGCTAAATAATAGTAATTAAATTCATTTTAGTGATGATTAACATATCTAAAGCACACGAAGCACATTAATCTTAAGTGTATAACTTGATGATTATTTCTATCTAACCAGGCACCTATGTAACCACCACCAAATTCAAGATACAGAACATTTCTGACACTATAATAGGTTCCCATGTGCCCTCTCCAACAATATACCTCTCCCAATGGAACTTTTATTCTGACTTCCATCATCAACTATTAGTTTTGCTTGTTATAAAACTTCATATAAAGAGAATTACACAAGATGTATTCTTTGTGGCTACCTCCTTTCCATAAACATACTGTGTTTAAGATTCATCTGTCTTGGTGTGTGTGTTAGTAGATTGCTATTTTACTGCTGTGTAGTATTACATGATATGAATGCATAATAACTTATTTGCCCATTCTCCTATTAAAAGACATTTGAGTTGTTTCCAACTGGGATTATTATAAATAAAGCCACAAGAATATTTTTCTACATGTCATTATGTGGAATCAAATTCAATTTTTGCACTCTCCATAATTTTCAATAAATATTTTCAGTGCCACAAAATTTTGGCAGTAAAACCACTGGCTGTTCATCAACTAATGAATTAGTTAACAGTGGAGGAAAAAAAACAAGGCTCTTCCCTAAGATGCACAGTCTAGAAGAATCTTCATTCTTTATGTGTAGCCTCATTCAGCTTAGTAATGTTGACCTGGAATTTAAATTTTTCTCTAAAATATTCTGTTTTCTTTATTCTAGAATTCTTTAATTTTAGAAATAAAGCAAAACCTCACAAATGTGCCTGCTTATGTTAGAGGAAGGACTGAATTCATGAACACTGAGTTATAGAAAGCTTAAAGCAAAATACAAACTTACTACTTTGAATATAGTCTTCTAAGAAGAAATGTCATAAAAACTGCTTCGTAGAAGAAATAGTTATTTTTAAAAAATCGTTCATAATTGCAGCAATGCTAGATACTTCTAAAATACTACCACTGCTAAAGTACCCCCTTAAAAGAACCTAATTTAAATAATTACTTTTAAGCAGTTTAACTATTCCCCTAAAGTCTCATTTATGCTATACTGCGCTTCATAAACTTGCCTCCCCTGAATAGAGGAAATTCACATTTCAGCTAATCTGTTAATTATCACAAATTTCAAGTCAGAAAAAAACTGAATTAATGAAGCTTATTAACAACTTCACAGCCTATTATTTACATTTGGATTTGTCTTATTTCCCAAAAGAAACTTGAATAAATAAGTGTGGTGTGAAAACAACTTTTCTAGGGTAATTTAAAAATAGAAAAGTTGTCTATTTCTGATAGTTTAGGAATCAAACTGCTTAACATGGGGACAAGCCAAACACCTCAAGTCCACTGTTGTCTCACAATTACATACACACAGGAAATCTATTTCACGCTTGATAATGAACTACATCAGATAGAGCCTTTCTCACTAAGACACTTCTCCCATTTTTGGTAGAAGAGTTCTATTTTCCACTCAGAAAGCCTCACCATTTAAATATTCTAAAATAAGGTCTTATGAACAGGAATTTAAGAAAGCACTAATGTAGCTCAGAGTGTTTAGTAAGGCTTACTGATCAAAATAAGCTATCAAATAAAATTAACTTACTTATTTTCTCTAGTAATGATACTTATTTCTAATTTTTTCATTTTTAAATTTTTTTTAGCGGCGGAGGTAATTAGGTTTATTTTTTTATTTTAATGGAGGTTCTGGGGATTGAGCCCATGACCCTGTGCATGCTAAGCACGCACTCTACCACTTAGCTGTACCCTCCTGCCTTAATAATGAATATTTTCTAAGTTATTTTAATGTTTATTCACAGAACAATCACATTTTAATTAGTAATGCTTTTCATATCTTCTTTGGAAGGATTTTCTAATAAAGTATTTTCTAAGCTTACTTTCTTCTTTATAACAGTTCTGAAAAGCAAACACCTCAGAATGAATTATAATTAGTACCATCACATTTTACTCCTTTGGTTTGGAAAAAATAAAGGAACCACCTGTGTAATTATCACAATTCTCCGTATCTGTGGAAGGGAATACATACATAATTAATATAAAAACCTGCCACAAAAATATTTTCATCATATTCAAAAGAAAAGCTGGCTTGCTATTATCCCAGAGAGGAAGACAATAGGCAAACAGGAAATTAAATATCAGATAGAGATCAGCTGTGCTCAAGTTTCTAAAAGGACAGTTTAAACTGGACAGTTTCATTCTAGGAATGAAAGCCAATGCCACACCACACTTCTGGAAATACTCAAGTCTTGCTGCTGTGCTTGTCACTGAACAGACATCAGGTGTACAAGTGTTTACTAGCGTCCACATGAGACTGAATAGAAGTGCCAACTTATGGAACACATGAGAGAGAAGAAAACATTATTTTCTACTGTTTACAATTTCTAAAGCAGAAGGGTGTAGACAATGAACCCATTGCAAAGTGCTTTATGTCCATGAACATGGTAACACTGAAAACTTGAGGCATAGTATACGTTTAAATGTTCATTACTGAAAACATCACTTGTTTTTGAAATGGAAGCCAGACTAACAATGTACTCAAAGATAGAAATCAGAAAAATGCTCAACTCTATTCTTCAAACAAAATTTATTTTTCCCATTGTAGAACTAACAGATAGTTAAACTAGAAAAATTAGAAAATACAGAGATGGATAAAGAAGGAGAGGGAGACCACTTTTGTCTCAGTTATTTCTAAATCACTGTATTTATGGGTATTATCTTCCTATAGATATTTTATTTATTTTTATTTTTCAGTGTTATAATAGAATATTCTGGTCTTATGAAAGAAATCTGAATAAATAAATTATAAGGATGTGAAAGCACTTGGTCTAGCATACTTTAAAAACAGAATAGTCAGAATAGGCATCTATCTCTGAAAATTTAGGAGTCAGGCTGCTTAACAGAAGATGAGTTAAATGTATCTCAATAGCATTTGCATTTCACAATTATACACACAAGACATCACAACCATTCTATTATTGGATGTTTAGGTATCTTCTAATTTTCACCAACAGAAATAAGGTGTCAGAGAACATCACTGTTGGAAGAACTTGAGAGGCACAATATGCAAGTGAGAGAAAACAAAACATAGAAAGTAAAGATAAGTAAAATAATGGAGATTAAATAATATAACTACCTTTGATCTGTGAAATGGATACAAATGAGACTATCCTGTTATAATGTGAGTTTAGTTTTTAAATTAACATATGTACATTATAAGAAAAACAGCTACATTTATTTTAAAAAATCCTCAACAGATAAATGCCAATTTAGGGCAAGGAGATACCTCACATACTGGAAAATCCTACGTCCTTAGGCCATGGTAGGGACAGCCATTTTGGCTCCCTGAGGTTCTGGCTTATCCATGTCCCCGCATACACAGAGACATGCAGAATTTCCCTCCATGCGTAGGGAGTCTAAAACTCAAGCAGGAGTTTCTCAGTTGTGGTTTCTCTTCTCTTTGTCTTGCAAAGTCAGAATGCCCGATTGATGTGAGCTATTCACAGAAATGTCCAAGCATTCATTGCCTAGTATGGGTTGCAGGCCTATGCGAAGCCTTCTTAAATGTAAGAAACTGGCACAAATAAATGCCACAACTAATCTTTGCTAATAAGATAAGAATATATCCTTGAGGATATCCCTTATTTAAACTTTATGGATAGGGTAAGATTACTTACCTGCTTGTTATCTCATATTCTAGATGTTCAGAAGCATAAAACCAAAACTAATTAAAGACCCTTCTTGCCAAGCTTTTGAGTTAAACTACATTTGACCTAAAACACAGTATCAAGACATCCTTTAATATGGGAGAGTGCTTGGTGAGGGGGAACAACCTCAATCTGACCCATCTTCTTTAAAGTAAATAAATAATATAAAGAAAATCAAGTTGTTCTGGAGATGGGATGTGTATCAGTTTTTGGAAATTTGGAAACAAAGAAGACCCAGAACTTGAGATAAATACTGTAACTTCCTGGAAACATACGAGGAATAGTTATCTAACTATATTCCTATAAACCCAAGGTTTTTACATTTTTATTTGTTTATTATTTATTTATTGAAAGAAATTTAATACTACTCTATAGGAACAGAATAAAATCCAATCAAAACAACTAAAGGATATGTGTAGAAGCCTATACCCAAAGTTCACGCACATTTAAGAGTATGGGGTAGGGGAGGGATCTAGTTTGGAGTCCTATGTTTATGTCTCAGATAATTAATGAAAGTCAGAAGTTTGATTAAAGTAATTCTTTGACGTTTTGAGATTCTTTTAAATCACAGTTAAGAACAGAATTTATGCTTACAGCATACAGAAATATTATCATTTATAACACATGATCCCAACTCTCCCTTGGCTACCTGCAGCAAATTTGACTCCAAACCACCAGGTCCATGGCATGATGGTATGATGGAAGACATGCAGGAAAGTCACTTGACTATTTTTCTTACGTAGAACAAAAAAGATCTGAAATAATTTAAAGAAAATCAAGTTCATATAAACCATGCAATAATTTATCTAGTGTTACAAAGTGAAAACTATTTCATGTTGTAATGTGCTTTGAAAGAATTGGCTTATAGAAGGCTTACAGAAGCTGCTGATTCTTTAAGGGGCAGCTCAAAAGCGAATTAGTAGGAGAGAACTTAGGTATGATGCTTAGTCAAGGAAGAACCAAACAACGGGTGAAAAAATATTATGTGTAGACTTAAAATCAAAGGTACAAAGTGAAGAGTATGACCAAAAATTATTGAAAAAATGTTACTGGTAAAAAAAATTCTGTGAATTTTGACATATATGGGAAAGCAGAGATGTTTAAGTCCTAGGACTGGAATTCTATGTTGCTCCTTCACATATCCTGCTAATTCAGATAAGGGATCAAGCAAACTGAAAGAGAACTTGAAGCAAGTCAAAAGTTAGACAATTATTACTAAAGAAAGATGAAGAAGGACATACTTGAAGAGTTAATAGGGGAAACAGGATGGAAAAGAAAGCAAAGCTGCTTAGGAAAAATGAGAAGGGCAACCAAAGCACCAACTAGGTTGAAACCCAGTGGTTTACAGAAACTCTATGAACAAACAAAGATGTAGGATAGGAAGGCTGTGGGGGGGGGGGGAATTTTTTTTTTCCCAAAAAACATTCAAAAGCAGAATTAAGTGTTCAAAAATATTCAAAACTCAGAAGATCAGTTATGAGTTAGACTTCTAAATAGGGGACTAAACAGAGTAGCAGAAACAAAAGTATTCATAAGAGTATCTGAGAAACATGGTTCAGAGGACATAGAGGCAGCAACAGTTTCCTTACAGAACCTGGCACTGAGAACATGCAAAGCAGAAACCATGAAGCCAAAATGCATTTGCTTATGCACATGGAGGAAGGCAACGTGGTGCAACAGAAAAAGCCATAAACCAGCAATTTGGGGTCCCAGTCCCAGTCAGTAGTGGCATTCCTCTGGGTGAGTCTTGTAACTTTCTGGCTTCCATTTTTTTTTTTTCCAGATTGAGTGCTCTGAGCTAGATCAGTGGTTCTCAACCCTGTCTGCATATTACAATGTCTGAGAAGGTTTTTTGTTTGTTTGTTTGTTAGCTTTTAATGGAGGGACTGGGGATTGAACCCAGGACCTCCTGCACTCTACCACTGAGCATACATACCCACCAGCTCTGTTGGTTTTTTAAATAGCCACGCATGATCTCTAAGTCTAGACTTTCTGACTCCAAATCTCTGTGGGTGGGACGCAGGTTTTTGTTTTCTAATGCTATTAAGTCTACAGCACCACAGGATTGAAAACCACTGGACCACAGCAGGGGCTCTTAAAGTCAACAGCAATTACATCATTTGAGAACTTGACAGAAATGCAAATTCTTGAGCCCCACCCGAGACCTACTGAATCAGAAATTCTGAGGGTGGGGTGCAGGCACATGTGTTTTTAACAAGTTCTCCTGGTGATTCTAATGAATGCTAAAGTTTGGGAACCTTGGGATTCTATACTCACTAAATTCTCCTTTCTAATTCTAACATTTTGTGCAGCCAGCTGAGAAGGTAAAGCATGTTGAGATTTGCTACAAGAAATGTAGTTGTATATATTCTGAAGAGAGAACACACTTATCAGTCTTACATCCAGAACTGATTCCAGACAACTAAGATCCACATGCCACAAAGATACAACGGATATCCAACTTTCCTTTGTTTCTGGAAACAAATTGCAGAGCTTTCTCCTCTCATCCTGGATCCTAATTTGTGGCACTTGCTTCTCCCAGGGCCCCGTCACTCAAAGTCAGAGTTGATGCACAGGAAGGAAGAAGACCCAGGAAGCATGGACTTCAGAAAAGCAGCTGGAAACAGTTTTGATATTACCAAAATTACTGATAAGTTACCCAAGGGTAACTTAATATTCTAGTGTAAGTTTATGAATCTTGAAGCATTTATTCTTTTAAAGGAGTATGAATGACACAGTACTTTGATACAGAGAACGAAAGGTATTCCCTGCTTCTTGCTTCCTGAACTTCACAAAACAACTGTCATCAGTCTTTATAAAGATGCACAGTTTTGTAGTGTATGTGACAGTTACATTCTTATCTTAGCCAGATGTGTAGATACATAAGAAAATATTTTGGCGTTTTGCAAGAGACTGAAAAATAACTTCATCCTATCTATTCTCTAAAATTGCTGATAATAAAAAGTAAAAGATAATAGTAGGTCTGCCTGAGAAAGAGAGATAACCAAAGTTACCAGACAACTGAACACTCACAGTTTATTGCTTTCATTGAAACATCAAACATTTATCAAATATGGTGACTACATACTCACAGTATCTAATAGCTCAAAAAATTTGGAGACGTAATAAAGCCAGCAGGTGCGTACCATCTGCAGAAACACACAGAGATATGAATTTTATTTTTTTTAACATAGAAGAAAACTTTATTTTTTCTAATTTTGGCAAAATTCACATTACATAAAATTTGCCATCATAACCATTTTTAAGCAGACAATTTGGTGGCATAAAGTACATTCACATTCTTGTGCAACCATCACCACCATCCCATCCAGAGAACTCTTTTCCGCTTACAGGACTGACACTCTGTACCCATTAAATAAGTCCCCATCTGGGAATCCAGCCCCTGACAACTACCATTTTACTTCCTGTTCTCTTGATGTGACTACTCTATGGACCTCATACAACAGAATCATACAGTATTTGTTTGTCCCTTTGTGCCTAGATTATTTCACTTAGCATAATGTCCTCAAGGTTCATCATGTTGTAGCAGGTGTCAAAATTTCCTTCCTTGTTAGGACTGAATAATATTCTGTTGTATGTATATTCTACAGTTTATTTATTCATTTGTCTAATAATGGACATGGGTTGCTTCCATCTTTTGGCTAATGTGAAGAATGCTACCAACATAGGTGTACAAATATCTCTTTGAGTCTCGGCTTTCAATTCTTTAAGTACATATCCAAAAGTGGAATTCCTGGATCACACGGTAGTCCTGTTTTTAATCTTCTGAGGAACCAGATATAAACTTACTTTTAAATCCAAGAAATTCAAAAAGAAAAGCACTAGTCTTCATTTTACAGAAAACTATACACCTTTGATTTTTTCTTATAATGTTTTAGCTTTTTTCTTAACATATACAACCTGATAATTGAGTCATTTACTCATTCTGATTTCACATTCAGTGTTTACAAATAGAGCCCCCAAAGGTTTAACATTGATTTTGAGATACAAGTTTTTCCAAAGAGAAACCTACCCTCAATGCTGTAGGCGATCGTGAATAGTCAACAATTTCACATCGAAATGAATAACCTGTGCCCCAGCCAGACATCACAAACTGCAAGAGAGCACACACATGTTAAAGAAGGAAGCATTTTCTCAACAGCTACAACAAAGGAAATTATGACCCGCTGAGTCAGCAGTCAGTGCAGAAGGAAAGGTGGGTGAGAACAGTTACAAACCAGGAACTCGCTTGATATCAAAGCATCAAGAATTTTCTGAATCGTAAAGTCATATTTATATAAACTGTGTTCTGACTAAAATGGCTGGTTCTTGGAATGACTATTCTAATACAATGGAGAAAAAAACACTAGGGATGTTTTGTTTAAACAGCAAATACTGGTAGGTAATCTACCTTGTGTATATCTATATGTGTCTGTGCCTATGTTTGTGTACTCTGAAGGAGGTGACTGAGTCTGAATTCAGTCTTTTCTGATGATTTCCAATCGTTGCAATTAGTCAATACACAAATGGGCAAATCAACTTTCTCAGTGTACTCTTCTGATGACCACAACAACTGGGTTTTTCCTGTCTTGGCTAGTAGATGGAATGTGAAGTGGTTGTCTATGGCTTTTAAATCAAGATTGACCAAACACAAGACTCACATGTTGGTTTTCCTTTAGATTCCCATGACAAGTAAGAGATGAAAATATTAACACTAGAGTGCAGTCTGGCAAGCCTTAATTCCAACACACCCACAAAGTGACCTTAGACTAGTGGTGAGAAGAAAAGGCCCATTATTGATAAGTCTGAACCGTAATTCAAAGAGTATATTGACATTCTTTCAGTTTGATAGTGGGAAGGTTTCCTTTTCAAATACTATCTGAAAATGTAAAGCTAAGGACTCTACTTTAAAATTAATGTATATATTAAATGGTTGGCTTAATTTAGGGTTCTGACGATATGACCAGTTCTCTGCCATCCTATTTTCACAGGCGCCAACATCTTCCCTAGAACGTCTTCTCTTTCAGCATAATAATTATATCATGTCCTGCCACTGAAGTACATTTCAAGTTTCAATTTTTAATTACTATTAAAGCTGAAATGACAACTTCACGATAAATTAACTCCTAAAGGCAAAAGCTTGTCAGGCATTATCAGAATGAGATTTTAATGGTGAAAAGAAAAGAAACAAGGGAGAAAGAAAAACCATTTAGACTACGGTATTTAAAAACACACTATCCTTTTTTGATATTAGCTCCTAACTTGATTTTTAATAGAATTTAATCACACTGTTAACTTTGTAAGCTATGAAATCTTGAAAATTAAGATTCAGGAAAGTGTAAGACACATCTCCTGGGTGAGAAAAATATCTTACAGAAACAAGTATATTAATTGTCTGAAAGGAACAAGGGAATGTGGGACAGAAGTAGTTAATTCTGTTTTACAAAATCCTGATGTGTCAGTGAATGTCTTCATATTCTCTTGCACTTGGACTCACTTCTGACTGATGCAAGTAACACTCTAAGTCCATTTACTCAGCCTGGGATGACCGATCCCCCACTTTGCCCTACCCCCCAAACAAGGGCCGCGCTAAACAGGAGAAGCTGTGTGATGTGGTGGCTTCTGTGGGGTCTTCACTGCTCTCTCTTCATTAGTGTCTGACGGGTGCCAAGTATCTAACACCTTCAAACCATCAGTACACAATAAGGCAAGTGGGTTCTGGTAGTCTGATGCACTCCCTTTTGCCTTGTCTGTATTTGCCCCAACGTTCCTAGTGGAGGTATACACTCTGTATACCAAATGGAGTCATGTTCCACCCAATAAACCATGTGTTCTGACGTGTCCTGGAGGTGACAAGCTGCTCAGCTGTCAAAAGTCTCTGCTTAAACAGAAAGTGGAACTTCATGCTCTCCAGATACTAAGTTTAAGAACATTCCAAAAGTCTGTAGAGCTTTTGACGTATGTGTCTCCACTTCAGGCTTTCACAAAGGAAAAGTAATAATTTATATTTTACAGGTAATAACCCCCAAAACTGGTATATAAGTAACTCCAGTATTAGTGGTTAATGGGAGATAGAAACTCTCAGATTCAGATATTTTCAAATCTTTTGTTATAATTACTAAAATAGGAACCAAAACTTACTGGTTATAATTGGATTCCCTCCTGAGAAATATATTTGGGGACATTACATTGAATGACACAATCAGACACAGAGTATAAAGGGACCTGAGAGACACCTTGGTTCAATCTTGATTCTTTAAAATGAGAGAACTGAGACCTAGTGACGTTAAGAGACTAGCTCAAAATTAGGTAGTTAGTAGTATAACTGGGACTAACTAGTCCCTGGTCTCCTGGCTTTCAGGCCTTTTCTTAGCACTGTCCTATAGTAGGTTATATTCTATCTCTGATAACCTGCTAAAAGCGTGTACTTTTGCTGCTCCTCATCTCTACTCTATTACTTCTTCTCTTTCAGTTGCTTATGCTCCAGAAAGGACAGTAAGATGACCTGTGAATTAATTTTGGAAATAAAGTAGAAGGCAGCAAGGTAAGTCCAGACTTCAGAGAGGCCTGTGAGAAATGAGGCCAGAGCAGATTTAAGGTGATCCGATCAGGTAGATCTGTGGCAGGAATCAGGTTGGAAGGATGCACATGCAGAGGCCCGAAATGTTGAGAGAAGCCAGAGAGGTCAGGCTAGGCCCTCCTGAGTCCCAGGTGTTAGGAAGCACAGGCTGTGCAGCAGAGGAGGAAAGTAAGGAGCAGAGGATGAGGAAGCTGGCCAGCACTGGAAAAGCAGCAAGGACTCCCAGGAAAGCAGGTAAGAGAGGGTGGCTGAGACCTGTTATCAGCAGAGTGGGAGACAAAGAATTCTTGAGTCTGCTTTTAGGTCATGGAAGAGCTCCATCTCTCTTACTGGCAAGTAAGGGACAGCTTCCCTCACCTGCTGCTTTGTATGAGTCTAAGCTCCCTATCCCCCCAAAGCCCAGCTAAACCAAACCAAAACAGTCCACTTCTTACAGCTTATCAGGGCAAGCAGAAACAAAAGGTTCCTCCCATGATGATGACAACTCATTACAAACTCAGATGAGCTCTGGTATCAGACAGACCTGGATTCAAACATTAGCCCTCCACCTACCAGCTACACTACTTTGAGTGAGTTACTTAATTTCTGCAACTGAGTTTCCTTAAAACCAACATTTATGGATTCACTCAGTTGTCTTTTATGATAAACTATGTGCAAGTCCCTAAACTTCATGTTAATTTTTCTCACTACCCATGAGGTAGACCATACTAAATATTTGGTCTATACATCACAATTTTTTGGCAAATATCGGTTCTAGTGAGCTAAGTTTCTGAAACCCCTTGAATCTTGGAGAGTTACCCTTGCAGTCATAACAAGAAACATCATGACAGTTAAACACAAAGACTCAGGCAGAATTCTCCCATGAGGAATACTGAAGACACTTGCCTCATAACACATATACACAGAAAAGAGTACTATGAGAAAATTGTACGTTATCATCACTTTCTTGAGTTCAAAGGGCTTTCGATTCTCCATGAGCTTTGGTCCCAGAGAAGTGACAAAATAGACATAGAGTCCCAGGATGATGGTGTGTGGTAGAGGCGAGGACATGAAGAGCCAGTCTTCAACTCTTGGATCTAAGGGAAAAACAAGATGTAAGTGCACATCCATTTAGTGGAGTGGTAAATGACAGCAGCCAGCATTTAAGTGAGCACCTAGAAGGTAATGTTGACAGTGAACTGTCTGGTCAGTGATCACCCCAATAGTCAGGAATTGTAAAGGGAAATCACCAGGGATAGTGATGGGGCTGGAAGGAGTAACCCTGGGCTTCAAGGAGCAAATGGAGGTAGTGGTTACCAGAAACCAGTAGAGAGTTATGCGAAGAACCCCCCAGGTAAGGAGCTGTGACCTTCGGTTGAGGGATTTAGCCAGCACAAGCCAATCCTGGAAGTAAGGAGCCAGGGGAATCAATATCCCAGCCCCACCTCCTCCCTCTAATTCAGTGGGGCTCTCCATTAGCTGAACCCAACCAGAAACCAGAAGGCAGGGGAGCAAGCCCATGGATACAGTCTACTGGTCATTCTCCAGGGCCCAGCACAGGCTACAGAGTGGATCTAGAGAAGAGAAGACATCGAGTAAAGTTTTACCATCCATCTACAACCATAAGTAATATGTCAAGGTTCTCCATCCAGACATTCTTTTATACATAAAACTATGTCCAGGTTTGCTATTTCTTAACTTTCTTCTTCCTCCAGGAAAAGTGGGACATTTCCATATATACTGTGTCATAGAATTGAAAGGGACATTAGCATCATTTAAGTATCTAAAGTGTGGGCAAACCAACCTGACATTTTAAGCAAAAAAACAAAAACAAACAAAAAACATAATAGCCTCACAATTGTTAAAAAGAAATTCCTACGGTCACTGCTAGTTCCAAGCCAGGAGAATTAGACCAATTAAAAATTGCAACTCAAGAGGAAATGTGATTAATTCTATAACCTTAAGAAGTTCACATGCAATTTTCCTAAATTGTCTCATGAAGCCAGAATAGTACAAAGGAAAGGAAGTATGGACACGTTTCTAGGTGCATCTGACTCAAAACTGAGTCTTGACTAACCTTAGGTTGCTATTTACCATCACCCTTGTTACCTGGAAAAGAAGAGTGGGCAAATATAGCCCTTGCTCATTGCTAGTGATATAACCAATTACTGAAAAACACTGAAATATCCTTGAAAATCTGGCTTCTTACCCAATGCAAAAATTTCTTCAATAGACTCCATGATTGATGACTCACTTGGCCTCAATTTTATTGCTGGAAAGCTCACATTTGATTCCTAAGTGATCTTGGATATGGCTGCAGCTATTAATGATGGTTTATTCCATACTGAAATGGACTTCCCTCAAAAATACTGACAGATGCCCTATCTCAAAATAAATAAGCTCAAAGTCAGCTCTAAGATGGACCCGAAAATATTTAGAAATTTAAAATATGATAAAGAAAGTCCCATAAACAAGTAGGGAGAGAAAAGGAGACAAAATACTTGGGAGAAAAATGAGTTTGTTCCTTATCTTGTATCCTGTCTAAGCATGTTCCAAAATATGCAATGTAAGAAAGATATTTAAAGTCTTTCCACAAAAAGTGGGGAAAGGCTACTAGGAATGCTAAGTTAAACAAGGTGCTTTTTTGCAGGATTTCTTAGTGCATCGTGTTTGTCGTGAATTGCTAAGATGAGGATGGTGGTATGCAGCATTCCTCAAACTTCCTTGGCCATGGAGCCCTGATTTCTTTCTTTCTTTTTTTTTTTTTTTTTTTTTTGGTAGAATACCATTTAACACCTTGTGGAACTAACGCTCTGTGGAACACACTTTAGGAAAGATAGCCCTCTTTGCTAAAATAAATGTATAAATGAACCATCAAAATTAAGCAATGATAGGAGAAGAGCAACAGGATCAGATCACTTTGAGATCTAGTAAGGAGGCAGAAAATACAACATTGTATAAACAGTCAAGTATGGGGAATGAGAGACAGGTGGAGGTGAAGGAAAACATTGAGTTTTTGTTTTGTTTTGTTTTGTTTAGATAACTCTGCTGTTACTGAGATTAGGAATACAAGGTAAGGAACAAGACTGGTCAGGGAGAGATGGCTTATGTTATAGAACATTTTACACCTGGGGTGCCTGTAAAACATTCATAGGGAGACCCCCAAAGGCACCTGGATATATGGATCTGGAATTAGGAGAGAGATCTGGGCCAGAGATATAGCTTTGGAGGTTGTCATCACATAAAAGATGAACCCAAAAAAGGAGTGAATCTAGCTTAGGAAAAGTGGGCAGAGCAAGGAGAGTAAGTGACTGAAGTCAGAATCTTGAGGACTCAACATTCAAAGGAGGAGTGGTAGAAGAGGAAACTAGAGAAGACTGGGAAGGAGCAGCCAAAGAGGTAGAAGGAAAACCACAAAAGTGAGGAATCTTGGAACCAGGGGAAGGGTGAACTTCTGAAAAGAGTCAAGGTATCACATGTGGCAGAGAGGTAAAGGAAAATGTGGGCTGAGAAGTGTCTCCGGATTGATGCTCTCAGCAGGAACACTTTCAGTAAAGTTTCATGCACAAAAAGGAAACTCAGCAAAAGTTTGCTGATGTTCATATGAACACAAAGTTCTCAAAATTTGAAAAAAATTTATATCAAGATCGTCACAGTTTTAAATCAGGAAAAGCTTTGAAATCAACCCCCCCCAGGTACACATCACCCAGGTCTTTTATTGCTTCTATTAGTTCCCCTTCTTCCTTTTAACAAGTTTCCCAGGATATATGGGTGCCAAGTACAATTAAAAAGGTCACAAGGAGCCCTAGCCTCAGGCCCGTAACTCACCAGGGAAGTCTCAGTAAAGAAAAGTTCCCACAAAACTGGAGACCAAGGGATAGAATTAGAACTGATCAAACTTTGATCGATTTCTTCCAACAGTGGGTAATCCAAACCTTAGATATATGAATATCATAAGCCATATTAAAATGTCTAGTTTTTATCTCCAACGAAGTAAGGACTTAAAACCAGTACCAAAAGACGACTTGTAGAAGGATGGTAACATTATCACCTTTGGATGGTGACAATATAGATGATTTTTTTCTTTCTCTTTATAAGAAATTTTAAATGGTTCTCTTATTAATAGACATCACAGGTATGATTGAAAGCTAGTTTTTTTCCCTTTTGTCAGTAAAGGAATTCCTGAATTAGAGATACTTTATTTTACTCTTTTATTGGCTCAGCAGGGGCGGGGTTGAGGGGTAGATATCAAATGACATTATCTTTCTGTTCTTCCACTGGCAGTAGGAAAAAAAAAAAGCCAGGAAAAGCATGCTGGGCTGGCTCAGGAAGCAGAAGAAAATAATTTAAATAAATCACTTTTTCCTGTAATTTAACATTTTAAGCAAACTTTTTTTTTAAGTACTCTGAGTGTGACTTTCAAGTTCTATAGACTTTTTAAAAATCTTATCTTTTGGGAAAAGCTGGTTAATTAAATTTCATGTTATTTTCAAAGAAATAACAGAACAAAACACCAAGGTTTTTAATCCTATTTCACCAAAGCTCTGGAGTGTGCCAGTTGGCACTCCGATCCTGGTTCACTGACTGATTATGTGACCTGGGGCCAATGACTTAACCTCTCTGTGCTCTGTTTCCTCATCTGTGATTTGGGCATGAAACAGCATTCATCTTGTAGAGGATTTAGTGACTGATTACATGTAAAGAGCCTGGCACAATCTAAGTGCTCAGTAAGCTATCTACTATTATCTCAGCAGATCTCAATTCTGTCAGCACAGCAGAATCACCTTGGGAATGTTTGAAAATCAAACGGGGGTGAAAAAAAAGGTCCTGATCCAGCCAAATCAGAATCCTAGGGTATGCGTCCCAGGCAAACACATTTTGAAAAAAGCTGCCAAGGTGACCATGATGAACCCTTCGTGTTATGAACCGAGGGTTCAGTGTTTCCTTCACTTATGCTGACGGCCTCAGTGTCCCTCGCTCAGTGCTCTGCAGTCTTTTCTGTGGTTTCCCTGCTTCCTGATCCAATCTGCTGCATCCTGTCTTCTATGCAAGCATCAAATTCACTTTCTAGAAGTACAGCTTTGCTCAGATTATCCCTCTGCTTAAATTAGCTCTCCCTACTGAGCAAATCAAATTTAAAGTCTTTAATATGATGTCTGTGACTCTGAGGACTGTTCATGTTTCCTGCCTTCTCTCTTGGCAGCAGTGATACCTCTCTGAATAGGGAGCCCACTCCCCTGTGAGGCAGGGGGCACCCTACGATGGGATGTCTGCAAGTTGCAAGTTGGGTGTGGGTGCTGACTTGACAAAGGGGCTGTAGAAAGGACTGCTCAACAACATTTAAAGTTGTCTGCCTCAGTCTGTGATCCCACAAATTACAAAAGGTTCAGGGTGAAGCGAGCACTGAATTTCCTAGAGACAAGAGACTGTTGAGGATGGGAGAACTTCCTGTACCTTCCCTTTAGCATCCAAGTTGGGTGGCAGTGTTACGAGCAGAGCCGAGAGGAAAGCAGAGGATGGGCAGGCAGGCTGCCTGACAGTCCATATCTCAGTGATCATCCAAGTTCTGACTTATTACTAGCCTGATAATTCTTTTCTAAGAGAGTTCCAGGAAGAGAGTACAGGGGAGTACAAGGGCCACATATATAGAATATTAATGAACTTTTCCATCCGCTGCTTGTACGAGGGTGTTCTCTTAAGTGGCATGCACTAGCTCAGAGAGTACACCCTTTAAAATTCCAAGCACCAAGACGATGCAGAAGCTGGAAGGAAAAGAAAACATGTTCCTCTGGGACTTTGTAAAGTATTAAAGGTTCAAAGTGGCAGCAATCTTACTCAGACTCCATCTTCTTGTACAAAGATCACAACTAAGTCTGAAAAGTCATCATTATTACTATCCAAATACAAGAAAAGCTGCTTTTTTAATACTAAAAACATTGCAGCATTATTTCAAACATTGACATTTCATACTTCAGAATCACAATAAATCCTCTTTTAGCTTAAGTATTAATTAAACCATTTTTAAAATTCTGTAGCTGTGGAATTTTCCACATGAAAGAACTATGCATGACCCCCACTTTTCTTGCTCTCAGAAAACCAATGAATATCAGTAGGTTTCCCGAAGGCTACTCAGGATTAGGGCCAAAGCCAAGAATACACTTGAAATTCTTGGCACTTGATCCTGGGCTCAGACCTTTGCAGGATAAGCAAAGTAAAACTGGACTAAGATGGCCAGAGATTTAATGGCTCTCAGAGATCAATACCACACTAAGCAGAAGCAAAAACCTTTCCTGTTACACTTAATAGTGTTCTCATAAAGTTGTAAATCCTAACCACAGAACACTTTGACCCTTCTAGACCCTGACAGGGAGGAAAAAATGTGAAGAAACTTTTTTAAAAAGTGATTTGCTACATTAAAAGCATTTGAAGGTGGCGTGAGGGAGGGTAATAGGTCAGTGGTAGGGAGGGTAATAGGTCAGTGGTAGAGAGAGTGCTTAGCATGCACGAGGTCCTGGGTTCAATCTCCAGGGCCCCGTTTGAAAATGCAAATGCTCTATCAATCATCTAGAACAGCCACCACTACCACTGTGTTGGCACACTTCCAAAATAAAAGAGCATTTTCATGCATATTATCTGGTAGTCGGTGATATCATTCTTACCATTGCTAACAAAGAACCTGAGACTCACAGATGATAAACTTAAATCTAGGTCTTGTCATTACACACCCTCCCTCCTCACCCAAAACTTCAAATTAGCATCGTCTCAGAAAGGGAGCATAGACTGCTTCTTCCCTCACCCTCCCTGCAGGACTCTCCTCTCTCCCTACTCACCTCCACCCTTTTGTCATTTATTTTTCTGATCTATTATTACTGAGCTTTTCAATGTAATTATTCCTAACAAAAAGTTAAGAGTAGACCCATGAGTAAAAGCAGAAGGGGAATTTAGAAGCAGTTCACTTTAAAACATTTTGTACCTCTGACACTAAATAGGTGCCCATCATCATCTGAATCTATTTGGCTCTTGAGTTAGGACACTGATTATCTGACCTTCTTGGGTTCCTGCATTTGATAATGAATAGCAAGAGTTAGAAAGCAAGGGATCTGTTCTTCCAAACAAGTCTATTCCCAAAAAATGTATCCAAACTACTTGGTTCCCAAGTTTAAATCATAAGAGTTCAGGTAGCATGGGTACACCTCTATTTTGAAAAGAAATTAAAATATCAGTATTTTAAAAATAAATAAAAACCATTAGAACAAAACCTCCAAAATAGTTTTTAAATTAAATAATGAATTTATGAGCCCTCCTGTAAACCTTCAGAGAAGGATGGCCCCTAAGGAAACCTATATGCAATCTGTATCATTGCATAAGTTGAAAACCCAAGGGAAAAAAAAAAAAAAAAAAAGAAGACCCTAACAGAAAAAGGAAGGATGAGCCACCATTAGGAAATTTTGTTTACTTACCAGCATCTTTGATCCAATTATCATAAAGACGCACGGTCCTCGATGTAAAATCACTGAAGGCCATCTTCCACAGGATTTACTGGATCTTATCCTGTGTTCCCCAGTAAAACAAAAAAGAAATGTGTTTATGATCTACAGATACAAATAAAGCCAACTTTCTAGTGATACAATATTTTAAAAAAGCTAAAAATTAAATAGGAATAACTGGCAAAACAACAAACTTACTGAGGGTACATACATTAGTGAACCACATTAAACCCTGATACAGTTGCAAACGTAAGAATCTTCATCATAAGGACAATGCTTACTTCACTGAAAAAGGCTGACAGCCTGTACGAGATACAAAAGGAGTAAATGATTCTAAGAACCTTCATAGGAGAATCTATTTCCCTTTTATGGCAACAACATAAATGAAGTATGGACTGTACCTCCCATAGCAAAAAAATGACATGGTGTATGATAAAAGTGGCATCTCAAACCAGTAGACATCATTAGTTATTAAGTAAATGGTGTGGTACAACTAGATAGCCACCTGAAAAAAAAAAGTTGGATCCAAAAAGTATACTACAAACCAAGATAAACTCCAAGTAGACCAGACAATTAAATAAAATTTTTAAAAGAGCCATGAAAGTACTAGATGACAACAGTGGGGAGAACACTTTTATAACCTTGGAGTAGAAAAGTCTTTTAAACTTTGGTTTAAAATCTATAAGACATAAGAGAAGACTAACAAATTTAATCATATGAAAATCAAGGGAAAAAAAGAAAAAGCCAAATGACAAACAGAAAAAAAATGTTCAGTTCATAATACAGACAAGTGTTACTCTCTCTCATATATAGATAAAGAGCTCCTAGAAATTGATAAGAAAATGACCTGTAAGCCAAGAAAAAAATGTGCAAATTTTACAGAAAAGGAAATACAAATGGCTCTTACACATATTAAAAGCTGTTTAACTTTAATTATAGTAAGAAATCTACAATATTTTACTACATTGGATAGGCTAAAGTCCAAACATTTTAAACAATCAGTTGGGCCAAAATCCAAAAATGTGTTCACTCTGGTTGGAAGGACTATGGGAAACTCACACATTGCTGGTGGGAGTACAAATGAGTATAATCCTTAGTGAGAACAAGTTGGCATTATCAGTTAAAAAAATTATAAATGCATATTTTTAACCCAGCCATCCTATTTCTAGAAACTTCTCCTATAAAGATACATGCACATATGCACAATGACATACATTCAAACTTATTCATCGCATCAGTCAGTAAAAGACTGGAAATAAGACAACTGTCTATTAAAAAGGGACTGGTTAGTAAACAAAGATACATCTATTACCAGGAAATATTATGCCATTGTAAATAAGAATGAGAAAGCTCTCTGTGTGCTTACATGGAAAGCTACCTAAGATAAATGTCTATGTGAAAAAAGCCAAGGAAGGTACAGAATTCTCAACCAACCACCTTTTATACAGAAGAGGATGAAAGGGGTAAGCATATAAATTTACATCTATTTACGAGCATAAAAGGAACTCTGAAAAGATATCCATTGGGAAGGGAAGGGGCACAAACTGGGCTGAAGAGGGTGGAAGGAAGACCTTATATTGTTTGGATTTTGACTCATCTGAATATACTACCTATCAAAAATAAAAAATTAAAATATTTTAAAGGAAAAAAAAAGGATGGAATCAGCTGCACCTTGTTGCTTAAAACACCAATATACACATGCACATAAACACAAAAGAGGGATTTTAGTCTCAGTTCCTCAAAGATCTGTCTACTGTTGAGGCTCTTTCTAAGTCCAGGGTGGTATCTCAGCACAGTCTCTGATCTGATGCATCCAGTGTCCTGAAGCTGAGTTCAGACTCAAGACTCGCTGTGGTGACGCCAGGATCTTGCCAGAGTCAGCCTGGACTCTGGTTTTCCTGTGGACTGTTTCTATAGTGAAGGAATAATAAGGGGGTAGGAGCAGAAACCCTGGGTTTGAATCCCACCACTGACTAGCTGTGTGATCCTGGACAAAATTAAAGTTCAATTTTCTTATGTGCAGAATGGCAATTCCACAACCTACCAAGATAAAATAAACTCAGAGTTGTTTTGAGAACGATTTGAGATAATATGTATGTGTAAAGTTTAGAGCACAGAATCTGGCAAAGAATGAACATTCAATCAAAATCAGACATTATCATTTGAGAGATAAATTGTACCAATCTAAACGGAAAATATCCAGCCAAACTCTCTATCTAGTACAGTTGAATGGCAGTATACGGAGTAACTCTAGAGTAAAGTCTACTACTTTCATTTAAGGAGCTGGTATGTCACAGATTGTACATGACTTCCCTTGATGTTTTCTAACTGTTTTGGTAGGAGAGTTTTAGACCATGATAAAAGCTACTTTCCCAGTCCCTTAACCACTAATGTAACTACTCTAATTAAACGGCCAAAATAATACTGTTTAAATTATTCAGTCAGAGTGAAAGACTCTGATGTTATAGGGCATATGATGGAGTTACATTTCAAAGTATTATTCTGTTTTCTGTGCAATTCCTGCCTCCCTTTTTTTCCCCCAACTTCCTCCACATAGGCCATTTTCCTCTCTCCAGCCCTCATTAAAGCACAAAGCTTCAAAGAATCCACAGTCTAATGAACACCAGTAATATTCATAGGCAGCAAAAAGAGCTGGTTTCTCTAACCCAAAAGACTACACAAGACTGAGATGGAGAAGGAGGAAGAAGGTCGTCAGAGGAGTAACTCACTAGATGGGAAGGAAGGTGTCCTTCAAGCAGGTGAGGTGGAGGGCTGGAGGGGGGAAATGGGATCTGTTGGCTCAAGCCTTCTAGAGTGGGGACTCTCTCACTGAACATTTACTTATAGATAACCTGCCGTCCAACAGTCCCTAATACTTGCGGGCCCTCCAAGAAGAGCAGGAATGGGCACAATTGTGTAGGGATGGGGCCTGAACAGAAAGCCCAACCCCTTTAGCTTGTTGGAACTAAACAAACTGCTGAGAATTTCCTTGTAAGCTGGTATAGTGATGGACTGGATGCTAACATTACATTGTAGGGACTGGTCTAGGAAACAGTAACAATTGCATCTGGGATAACCTGAGTGGTCCTGTGAATACAGTGCTACTCCTGAGCTAAAGCCCGGCCTACCTCACAGCCCCTGCCCCAGAACTCCACCTTTAACATGACTTCACCCAGACACTTGATTGCTAGAAATGGTACACAGAGATGGGAAGAAACTTATTCAGTGTGGTGAAGGTATAGAGGTATCTCTGAGCTAACAGCAGAACTAGGACCTTCATGACCTGTTTAAAATACTGAATGCCAAAACACTGCAGGTCTGGAGATGCCAGGAAAGTCTGGGCTCTCATGTATGTGAAGCAGAGACTTAAAACTTAAAAACAGCAGACAAATCACCACACCTCCATTACGGTGGAAGAAAATGGCTCCCTGCCAGAGTTTAGCCCACATGCAAAGGTTTCAAAGTTGCAGGATTAGAGCAGGAGCTCACTGATAGGAAACTGGTGCTGGTACTTCCACTGCCCAGCAACTGACCCATGAATTCTGCTCCTTGTTTTAAGACAGTATCACGTGGTGACTGGGTCATTTGGTAAAGGAAGGTCTTAATCTGCCCAGACTAGCTTATTTAGACCTAAATTAAAGATGTCAAGTTCAAATGTGAGAAATGCGCCTGCTGCATACAGCTTACCTGCAGTTTCTTCAAAGCCACTTAGATACGAATACCAGAACCCAGAGAGTATACTTGAGGGATCTGATCACTCTGGGATCTACCTCAACAGGACTCACAAGACAGCACTTATCTGGTTTTGTGCAAACCCTGCAAAAGATGCTGAGGACACTCTCCTAGCGGGAAAGGAGGGCAACGTTAGCATATGGCTTTCCCAGGGCATGTGTGTGATCCCGGAACACAGCTATATGGTTTTCCCTTTTTCTTTTGATGTTTGGGAGGTTCTGAGCTCCCCACTGATCTCTGCTTTGGAAATCAGACGTCCGGGAAACCTGCAAGAATGGATCTGGCTAAGCCACAGATGATGCTTGGGGACACATAAACTGAAATGAGCTGTAGGAAGGTTGCAGCAGACGGATGGAAGCGAGGATAACAGGGTAAGAACAAAAGAGCTGACCTGCCTGAGGGAAGCCAAGTCTGGCTCATATTGAGGTAGTGGTTTAAACTTTACCCTTGTATAAAGTAAGGTGGAGGGAAGAACAGGGCAAAATCAAGCTATTCCACAAAACAGTAATTGCACTTTGGAGAACTGATACAGGAAACACTCCTTCAAAGGCAGACGGTGTGGAAGGGAGTTGAGCAGGGTCAGTCTGGAGGGCAAAAGGAAAAGGCAGCACACCCTGACTCATCAGAAAAGGATGCGGGAAGTTCAACAGTGAGTCAGAATGGGGTGATGGGACCTCAGTCAGCTGGGTGGTGAGATTTTCCCATGGGATCACAGGTGGCTTCCCTCTGGGTTGTGATTCTGGAAAACCAGAGTCTAGGGGGGTTCTCCACTTCTGCCATCTTGGGAAAGTAAAAAAAAACAAAAACAAAAACAAAAAACCCTGAGCTAAGAAATGCACTTTTCAGTAAGAATTTAGATCGCTAGGGAAACTTCCACCTAGGTATGAATCCAAGAGTTCCCTTCCTGTGAAAGCCCCTCCCCATCTGTTTTCTCGTTGGAACTACTTCCCCTCCCACCCTCACCCTCAGCAATTAAAATAGAAACAAAGCGTCAAAGGGGTCATGCACCAGAGTGCTGGACAGAAAGATCTGGGTGTTCGAGCATGTTCTGTCCCAGTAATCTAGTAAGACTGAGGCTGGGCAAAGGGGGGTCAGAAACTTTAAGTGTATTAAAACGAGAGGGATGCCTATGAAGTGACTGTTTAAACCAAGGTTTCTCAACCTGAGCTGCGTCGACCTTTAGGTCAAACAATTCTCAGTTGTGGGGAGCTGTCCTGAGCGTTGCAGGATGTTTCAACCCTGGCCTCTATCCACTAGATGCCAAGAACACCTCTTCCCCAGCTGAGACAACCAAAAAGGTTTCCAGAAATTGCCAAATGTCCGCTCGGGGGCAAAGTCATCACCAGCTGAGAACCA